GAAGGTTCATGTGACTGATTTCACAGGTTTGGGGCATTAGTCTATGAGCAAAGGTTTGACAGGTTGGGCCTGTGTCTATTGGAGTTAAGAAGGATGAGAGGTAATTTTGAAACATTTAATTCAAAAGGGAAACACTGCAGTCACTATAATAGAAAAGTTATCTTGATTTTAGAGGTTTTTTATTATTTGTCTAACTGCTTAGTAGTGTTTGGCGAAGCACATTACTGCTGTGAATAATCAGTAACTGTTCTAATGCCAAGTTTATTTTGATTTATTAAGGTTAGTATTATATTCAGATCGATGAGCCTTGTGAGCAGGAGATTCTCCCAGTCACTATGTTAAATAATGCTGTGCTTGGCCACAAGGATAAGCAGGATATTCACCCCCACTCCATTCAGCAGCAATATTGCTAAAACCAGGTGATTTAATCATTGTCACATTGTGATCTGTAGGAATTTGCATTATGCAAACTAGTTGCTGCATATGGCAGTACAGGTACTGCACTTCAAAACAACTCCCTTGGTTGTACAGCACTGGGACATCCTGAGTTGTGAAAGGTTCAAATAAATGTAAACACTTGTTTTCTCTCTTATGAGTAGTAACTGTTCAGACTGGTAAGTTCTGCCTTTCAGGCATTGCTTAATTCACTCTTTGACTTCAACTGAAGCAGTGCAGCAAGGTCAGAATCTATTGCTGAGGTTATTTTTAAAAAAAAAAAAAAAAAATAAATTATGAATGCCAGTCTGAAAGCTTATCAAAGGGAACTTCTCTCTGTCACAGCTCTGTGTGGCACTTGAGAAAAAGATTTGCATTTCTGGAGCATCTTTTCACAACATCAACATACCAAAGCACTTCAATGAAGTACTTTTGAAATGTGGTGTAATCCCAGCTGATGGCACCACAGAACAAGTCAGATCAAGACTGAAACCTGGCTTGATAGATGATATGTTTTTCTTTAGTTAACATGGTAGTTAGTCACAGCAGCATATTCACAATCGGCTGTAGATATTCTTACACAACACAAGTTTACTACACGAGGAAAAAGCAAACACAAAGTTGTATATCTAAGACAGATCTTGATGCAAACAGCAAAAGTTTCAACCTGTGTCCCAACAATATCCATTAGAGGCTAAAGTCCAGAGAGATTATACTCCTATCTCCACTCCTTTAAGTTTCCACTTAACTGGTGCTGTGCAGTTTCTTTTCCGTGGACTGCAGAGACAATTTTACAACTCCTCAGTATGTGGGCATGAACCTTTCACAGTTCTGAGGGCTTAAATTTTTTTCAGTTCTAACAAGCTTGTGTAGAAGTGTTCAAGCTATCTAGTTTGGAAACTGAAAGCTAGAAACAGTTCACCTCAGAAGTGTTGCGCTGAACTGAATTAGTTCACCCACAAAAAGAAAATTGTTCTCCCCTCCGAATTAATCCATTCCTTTCCCTGATCAGTGCTGGACAAAAAAAAAATCCAAGGACCGTGGATGCTGGAAATCTGAAACAAAGAAATTGCTGGACCAACCCACTCCATGATTGGTCCAACAATGTCAGCTTTTGTTTAAAAACAAACCCTGACTCTCTGGCTCTGAAGTCAATACGAACCTAATGACTCTATTCTGTTCTCTCTGTGCATCAAAAACTCATCTTATCCATTTGTAATTCTCAAGGCACATCACTGCAGTTGTATCCTTTCTTATTTAGGCCACTGTCGAAATAACGTATTGATCTTTTTACAAAAGAACTTTAAAGACCGAATGGATCTCTCAAATTTTAAATTGAAATGCTGATCTCACTGTGCTCTTTCTCGGCAGCTGTAACACTGTTCTTTGCTCTGTACCATTACCCTTATGCACTTTGTATGGTGTGATCTGCCTGTACTGCACAAAACATTTCACTGTACGCAGGTACGTGTGGCAATAGTAATAAATCAAATCCAAAATCCAACTTTCAAAAATGATTTTTTAAAATATGCAATGCGGACTTTGCTGGCTAGGACTGCATTGATTACCCATCTCTAATTGCCTGGAAAGCAGTTAAGAGTCAACTATATTTCTGTGGATCTGAAATTGAATGTAGGCCGAAATGGGTAAGGATGGCAGATTTCCTTTCCTAGAGGACTCGATTGAACTAGATGCGTTTTAATGAAAATAGACAGTGGTTACATGGTCGTTAAAATAAAACACAACTGTGGAAGCTGAAGATCTGAAACAACAACAAGTGCTGGAGGAACTTAACTGGTCTGACAACTTCTGTGGAGTTAATGTTTCAAGTCCAGTGACCCTCCTTCAAAATCTGAATGTGTTCAGAACACACTATGATGGAGGGTCACACTGGATTCGAAACATTAACTCTGCTTTCTCTCGACAGATGCTGCCAGATGCGCTGAGTTTCTCTAGCAATTTGTATTTTTGTTATATGCTTGTTACCAGGCTAGTTTTCAATTCAAACACTTAATGAATGTAAATTTCACTACCTGTCGTGGAAGGATTTGGACCCATGTCTCCTGAATGTTAATCTGGTGTTCTGGGTTACCACCATGCTGCCACTTCCCCCTATTCGACAGCTTTCAGCATTATTTGTCACTGTTGTAATATAGGAAACACGGGAGCCAATTTGCAGTTGTCAAGTTCCCACAGACAGCAATGAGATGATGACCCAACAATTGCCTCGAATTTGCTGGGGCAATTAGGGTGAGTTTAATTGTGCCGCTCATGTGCAAGGCTCAATCTGAGGAAGGAAGGATCCCCTGTGAATTGCTACATGTTTGCAGAATGATTGGTGCAATTCTGTCATTAACCTCAAACAACAGATCTCTCCCAACCTTCCTGTCCAGTTATGTGAAATTGCTGCATCTTGTTATGACCAGGTGAGGAAGATAATCCACAACTTTGTTTTGAAACACAACATAATTGCCCACATCAATGTAATCAACTAAAATGTAATTAACTAAATCAAAATGTTGCACCAACGTACAAGGTAAGCTTTCTTGAGTGAGAGAGGAATTTTGTTAACTACTGCCCCCATCTCCAAATATTAAAAACATGACATCAAATGCAGCCATTCATGGAGGGTATTGGATGGGTGGGGATGTCTAGTATCACCAGGAAGGTGTAGGCAGTTGCATATCGAAGTTCTTAATGTCGGGTTGTGAGAATGGACCTGAGTCTCATCTGAACATAAGAACAGAAGTAGGCCACTCAACCCCTTGAGACTGTTCCAATGTTCAGTGAGATCATGGATGATTTGTGGTGTAAGTCCACGTACCTCCTTTTTGGTCTCTTTTCCTTAATACCTTTTGTTTAACCAAAAAAAATTATCTCTCTCCGATTTAAAGTTAACAGCTGTTCTAGCATTTGTTTGCAGAAGAGAGTACCAAACATCTCTACCCTTTGTGTAGAAATGCTTCCTAACATCTCTCCTGAATGGCCTGGCCCTAATTCTCAAACTATGCACCATGTTCTAGAACTCCCAACCAGTGGAAATACTTTATCTACCCTGTCTCTTCCTGTTTAATATCGTGAAGACTTTGATCAGAGCCCCGTAATCTTCTAGTTCTTGAGAAAACAGGCCTAATTTGTATAATAAAGTGCAACTTGGAAACAGACTTGAAGAAAAAATCCAGTTCCTTTGTGGATTTTAGTGTCTGCCATCATTTTGTTTAAAGCTGGATGATCGGATTTGTCCCAATGTGTACCTTCCAAAAGGTCTGAATCAACCCAGGAGACAGATCTCTGCTTCAGTGCTCTTCATAACTATTTAAAAAAAATTGCACTGTGGACACTAGGAATCTGAAATAAAAAGAAACTACTGGAGAAAGTCAGCAGGTCCAGCTGTAGAGCATCAGTAGAGAAAGAACGTTAGTGTTTTGGGTCCAATATGACCTCTTCAGAGCTTTCAGTGCTTTAGAAAGTTTCCTTTAAGAGTATAACTCTATGCTGTTTGTTCACGTGATCACAGCAGCCATTTTGGGTCAGTAATTGTCCTTTTTTAAAAGTCATTGCACTTCATGAAGGTCTGGTATATTAAAATCAGATAACAAAAGTTGTATATCAATAGTCCATCTTTCCTGTCACTGGTATGTACCTGTTTAAGGGCTCTTTTAATGGAAAGGTTGCTTTACCTGCAATACCACTTGACCTCTGTGTAGGAAATGTACAATTGAAACTGTGGTCCCATCATTTACTAAAGATCCAGGTGCTCTGTTGCCCCCACTGCACTGTTATCACCCTACACTCTCAGCAAGTTATGGTAGAAAAATGTTTTGAACTGAAACGTTAAGGAAATAAATCTAACTGAAGGGCAACACTGCGACGTTACACTTCAATAAAATCTAAGTCCATATCTCTGTGGTGTTTTTTACAAACAAGTATACTCTTAAGGCAAGAAAAGCTCTACTGGGTGGATGAGCTTTTAAAACATTTCATAACATTTTTAAAAATAAGAAATAAAGTGCGCCATTGTGGTTTGAATCATGTGCAAAACTTCTGGTGTTATTTTGGTTGCCTGTGATAGATGTTTTTTGCAGCTTGTTGTTCCTGCAGATGCAGAACATGTTTGTGATGTCTGAACTTGGCATTTTATGTCTATGCATGAATAGTGTACTCTGTGTTGTCTTTGTCCCATTCTTGGCAATGGCTGTGCTCCAGCCCCTTCGATTTTAGTGAGACTTTTGTATGGTCGAGTGCAATGTCTGCTGGCTGTCTTGCTTCCCCTTGATCACTCTACCAAACCGTAATGCATGGGTTCATTCCACTGGTGGCTGACAAAGGGTTCACTGTGCTCTCTGCCTGTTGCTGCGGGAAGGAAAGTATTTTACTCCACTCTGAACTGCTCAGTGAGGAAAGCCCACAGGTCAATCTGAACCTGAACCTGAGCCCTTTGCTACAGCACACAGCATGTTAACTGTTACCAAAAGAGCAGCCTTTGATTCTTCCATCTCTCACCCAGAAGACTAGTAATATTCAATGCTCGTTCTCTCTTTAATTTTGCATATGCAAATACACAGAAAAGGACCAGGGACTGAATTATCGTATGAATTTTCAGTGTGAGCTGACTGGAGAGATTTTCACCAGTGTCTACTGGTAAAGCCGTTGGTGTTTGGCTGACAACTACAATCAAGGCTAAAGTAATTTAATGTTGGTAAGTTCAATGGCTGTTTTTATGGATGTGTGTGGGTCTGTCCATCCACTCTGACAAACAGCTGTTCTTCTGCATGCAAACCCTGAGCTTAACAGGGATATGCACTGAATGCTCAATTCAACTTCAACTTTATTCCTTAAAATTCAGCATTTTACTCTTCAACTGTGGAATTTAATGTAAAACTTGGAAGCATTCTATGCTGGAATGGCTATTTGACTCATTGTACCTGTACCCAGTTCTCTGAAAGCCCAAACCAATTAATCTCCCATTCCTGCTCTATCCCAAAGCCCCGGTAGGCTGCTCCCTTCAACTATTTGTTCCATTGAAAGTTCCCATTAAATTGGCTTTCACTGTCTTTTTAGGCAGCATGTCCCTGAGCAGGATAACTTGCTGCATTCTAAAAATAAATCGTCTCACCCCACCCCTTTGGTTGTTTTGCCGACGATGTTAAATTTGTGTCCGTTTGTTATACGTAGTGGTAGGGCGAGAGGTTTTGAAGAAGGAGAAAATGTTGCAATTTTAACAATTTTGTAGCTGAAGGCTAGATGGAGTTAAAAAGGTGACTTTGTACAGTGTCCACTAACATGTGGAAAATATTGAAATAAGTCTTGTTAAAGTTCATTTGAAAAACTGCCCAGGAAGAGGGAGAGGAAGCTATAATGTAATAAAACTAATTCTTCTGCAGAAGAGACGTACTAGACTTGAAGCACTAATTTTCTTTCTCCATTGGAGGTGTGCCGAGGACTATCAGCACTTGGTTAATTTGTCTGTTCTTTCTTCCAGGGATAGAGTTGGAGTTGTTGAGGAGAAACAATGGCTTTGAAGAAAGGTCTTCAGGTAAAGTTCTACTTTGAGTAGAATTGATGAATTTAGTTATTTTTAGTAATGAAATGTAAAATGCTTTGAGGACGGAATGTTCGTATTTATTTGGACAAACTGGAAGTTCCAGGTAGAAAAGCATGTTGCAGTGTAATTATTGGTTCCACATTTAACTCTGTTGGATTGTGCCACTTCCATTACGTTAGCTAGTGTCGTGGAGGAAAAGAGAGAATATTGAAAATATGCAGTGGGCCAGTCAGTGAAGACATGTGTTGTTGTTTTTTTGGTGGCTGACTCAACTTTTCAAATGAAGAGTGGATCATGTGAACATACAAATAAGCAACAGAAAAAAAGCCATTTGGCCTTATGAGCCTGCTCACCAGTTAATTAGATTTTGGCTGGTTTGGTTGTGACTTCAACTCTACATTCCTGCCTATCTCTGATAACAATTGACATCCATGTTAGTCAAGAAACTATCTACTGTATCTCTGCCTTAACCACATTGTGACCTCTGTCTCCACTGCTGTCTGTGGATGAGAGCTCCAAATGTACTCCCCCTTCAAAAAACAATCCTCCTCATCTCCACCTGAAATGGAAGAACCTTTATTTTTAAACAGTCAGACTGTAACTTAACTTCTCTAATAAAATGCTGACTAGCTTGCAAACTTCCAGAAACTTTGTTTTGTTATTTACTCCAACTGAATTATTTTGTAGACGTCAGCGGTAGCTTACTGGTTGGTCCTACCACCTCTTAGATCAGAAGGTTAAGCGTTCAGGCACTGCTACAGGAATTTAAACATAAATATCTAGGTTGATAGTCACCTTGCAGCACTGTCAGAGTGCAATGCTGTTGGAGGTGCTGCCTTTTAAACTAAGGACCTGTCTAAGCCCTCAAGCGGATATAGAAAGATCTCCCATCACTTCAAAAACAGGGTTGGTCACCCTGGTGTCCTGGCCAATGTTTATTCACCAAACAGTTTGTGTTGGATATTTAGCATAGGAGCAGGCTCTTTAGACCAACCAGTCCATGTCTTCTCTCTCCATTTTGCCCTTCCGCCACTACCGCATGTCTCTATGCTGTTTGCTTCACCTGCTGCCACTCAAATCCCATGTTCACATACTGTTATGTGAAGAAAATTAATCTTGATTCCCTTTTGGTTTAGATATTAAACTGGTCCTTGCCTGCACATCAAATGGAAGTAAAAGATTCTGTGACACTTATGATCCCTACAGAGATTAATATTTAAAAAGAGACTTGATTTCTCGGTGTGATGTAAAAGAATCACATACAATCTTTTACTGCATCAAACAAATGAAAATAAAAATTGGCTAAATATTCAAGTACTAAAAATTCAAGTACAAATGCTGGAAATCTGAAATGAAAATAGGAAATGCTGGAGAAACCCTGGTCTGACAGGAGAGTCAACATTTCCAGCCCAGTATCACTCCTGCAGAGTTTCTTCAGAATGTTCTGCCTTTTATTGACTAAACATTCACTTAGTTGGCAACAAATGCTCTGAAGTAAATAACTGATGATCAGTATTAGTTGCTTGACCCCACATTAGTTATATATTTTGCTTCACTCTCCACAGAATTTATCATCTTTACAGGAGCAAGAAGCAGTTCAGAGTTTCTCCCATTCCCACTACCCAACAAACTTAATTGAGTCATAAATCAACCCCTTTCCGTCTGACTTGTGAGAATTACTGAATTGACTTTAGCAACAATGCCTTCTCTGATTAGTTTGTTTCTCCCAGCTTTGCAAGGATTGAATATTTTGGTGTCCTTACATTTCCAAAGGTTCTGCCTCTTCAACCAGAGAATGTGCTCTCACCAGTGTTCAGGCAGAGCTGATAAAGAACAATCTTTTTCCCTGCTGCTCACAGCAGCTGCTGTTTTTTTTTTTTTTTTTTTTTTTTTTTTTGTCTTGTCTCCCCATCTCTTGCTGTCAAGGATTTTTCACTCAGGCTGTTTGCAAGTCTGTATCTATTCATGGCAAAGCTAGTTACTCTGCTTTTTGTATCTTCAGGTGGTAAATCAACAATGTGCAATTCAGTGGCATCTTATTGTGCTGTCAGTCCCGATGGTCACTCGGCCACTTGATATTTTCATTGAGTGGATTCGGAGCAGTTTGCATATTCCTTTCTCATTCATTTTAGCTTGAATGAATATCAACCATAAACTTTTTATTTTAAATCTTACAGCATCTAGCATTCACAACATTTTGTAGAAGAGCAATGGAGTTGTCATCCATGTCCTTGCCAATATTTAGCCTTCCTCACAAATATGAAAATGATCTTCATGCCATGGTTCTGTTAGTGGGATACTGGAAGCTTGCTATGTTTTTTATATAAAAAAAAATGGTTAGAGCTGAAAAAACTAAATGCTGTAAATCAAACAAAAACTGGACAAGGAGTTCTGAGGGAAGGTCACTCGGATTTTTCTCCAGATGCCAGATCTCCTGAGCTTTTCATGTCTGTGTGTGTCTCCTCGATTTGTTGTAGTGACCACAATTTAAATGCACTTCATTGACTGGGAAGGATTTTGAGTTATGTGGAGATTATGGAACATCATGCACAGAATCTCTACCCTGCAGATGCTTAGCCTATCAAGGCTGCACCAATATTTGATGACAAATCCTTTTTTTTCTTATTTTTGTAGATGTGGTTTGGTGATTCACCCATGTGCTCGAGAAGCCCTTTGATTCCCAGGCATGGACCGGGACTCGCAGACGTGACACAGTACGATCAGTGGCTGACTGTGCGGCATGAGGCCAGCTTAGTGCCAATGCAGGAAGACCTGTCGATCTGGTTAAGTGGAATGCTTGGTGAGGTTCACTTCAGCTTCAGATCAACAGTACATGCTCCAGCCATCGGGAGCATCACAGCTGCCTCCCACCTTGACTTATTTCACTTTCTCACCTTGGGTCCAGATCCCTTGTTTCCCTCTGTTCAATTATCTGTCATTCTCAGTCTTAAATGTACAGCTGCCTTAGATAGAGGAGACCAAAGTTTCATAGCTCTCTGTGTGGAAAAACCCTATCCATCTCTTGATCCTAAAGAGTTGATCTCTTGAACTTGACATTGTCACCTTGCTCGAGACTCTGCAGACAGAGGAAGTAGCCTCTCGGTGTCTACCTTTCCAAGTCGTCTAAGCATTCGATTTGTTTGGGGAGGGGGTTACTGACTACTTAACTCAGGAGTGAGCTACTCGTTGGGTGCTGAGCCTGTCTCTCCTTCCCGTCCCAGCTACCTTCCAGAGCCCTCCATCACCCCATTGGGTACGATCCTTTCAATCCTCCCCCCTCTTACTTGCTAGCCATAGTCCCTCACCACCCCAAACTAGAAAAAAGAAATGTTTCTTGAGTATATTTTTGTTTTTGTTTGGCTTTAAATTTGTGATTGCTTTCTTTCCCCATGCTCTTATCTCAAACTCTCGCAATGAGACGAGGAATTTG